TAGTAGTAGTAGTAGTAGTAGTAGCAGTAGTAGAAGTAGCAGTGGCAGTTTCAGCCGCAGTCGCAGTAGCAGTAGCAGCAGCAGCAGCAGTAGCAGCAGCAGTGGTAGTAGTCGTAGTAGTAGTAGTAGTAGTAGCAGCAGTAGTAGTAGTAGCAGTAGTAGCAGCAGCAGTAGTATTAGTAGTAGTCGTCGTCGTAGTAGTAGTAGTGGTAGGAGTAGTAGGAGTATCCTGGCTATTAAAATTACTATTGCCACTGTCAGTATTCTTGTTCTTATTAGCGTGACTGTCGAGATTAGCGTTGCTAATATTGCTGTTATCTTTACGACTTACATCTACCTATTATCGCTATGAAAACTTTCACTCCTAAACCCTAAACCCCCAGAACCCTAAACCCTAATCCCTAAACCCTAGACCCTAAACCCTAATCCCTGAGCCCTAAACCCTAAAACCCTGATTCTGGTGAGCCTGCTCCAGGAGCTGTGCCAGTGAACCCCGGGAGGCTGCAAAGTCCGCCTCGACGGACCAGACGGTCTAGGGTTTAGGGTTTAGGGATTAGGGTTTAGGGTTTAGGGTTTAGGGACTTAGCTTAGGCTTTAGGCTTTATTAGGCGTGAGAGCCTAGGCTGTAGGCTTTGGGGCTTGGGCGAGTTCTAGGGTTTATATAGGTTTCAGCAAACGAGCCACACTCAAAACCTTGAACGTGCAACGACTTAAAGCTCAAATTCCAACGCCCCCTAAACCTTGACAGAATTCCGCTTGCCAAACCCTACTCTTGGGGAGATCCCCCGGCCTGGATTCGCTCCACATCCGTGCGCTCACGGTTGGGAGCTTCTGACGAGGAGCCTCGCACAAACCAGATGACACTGAGCTCAAGGACCAACAATGCCCCTGAAGATAAACCGTCGAAATCTACCCGGTGTAGAGACGAGCAGAAACTCCAAACCCTACCCCCTTGCGGGGACATTACTTTCCCCTTGTGCTGTTTTTGTGCCTTTTGGGGGCCCCCCTGAGTCTCGCCTGAATCGCTTGGCTTGCCGCGCGACTCAGAAGTCTCCGGAATCGCTGGGCCCCTGCAAAGAAGCTTAGGGTTTAGGGCCTTCAGGCCACATACAAGGGATGCTTAAGATTGTAGGGGTTGTATAGGAGTTTGAATGATTATGCGACTTTTTCTTCTGTTCCCCCGTTATTGGTTTGTCTTCTGTTCTTCATCGTTCAAGGGAGCCAAGCGAAACGGTGATGCCGACCACGGAAATTTTCTTATGTCTCTTGTTGCTTTGTTATTTCTCCGTCTCTCTTGGTGCCGCTTGTTTGCCTCTAGATTGAGTTGCCCCAAAGCTGTGCAAGTTGAAAGGCTGAAGAACAAGGTGCAGCACAAGACAGATTCAGGAAGGCTTGAAGAGTCGAGGACCCGTGCCTCCCCTGCCATGTGACTCCAAGACCCTATCGTCCAGCGTTATCCCTTTTGTTTATTCTTCTCTTTGGCAACTGCAGCAAGGGATGGGTGGGGAAAAACCAAAGACGGGAGGTGAAGGGAGTGCAAGTGAGAGAGAGGGAGGCGAGAGAGACAGAGACAGAGAGAGAGAGAGAGAGAAAGAGAGAGAAGGATGAAGAGGGCGGGAGCGTGACAGCAACGCGATGAGAGACAGAAGAAGCAGAAGCGAGACAGACACAAACACTTGTTCTCTGTGGTTCCCTCTCTCCGTTGATCGTTTAGTTCCTTTTTTGAAAGGAATGGGAAGGTTGGAAGTCCATGCTGTTATACCCATAACGTACTGTCTTTAGAAGTTCGCATTAACACCCCGCATCCCTTGTAGACACTCGGAGCTTAGCTTCGCTTGACAGTTTTCCTTCGTCAGTCAAGATAGCCAGGCAAAAGAAAACGAGGTTCATAGGTGACAAAACAAGAGCTTGTTACTCTGTCCCACTGTCCCCGTCCCCGCGCCTCTTCTTTGCTTCTGTGGTCCGGACGTCCACAGGCTGAAGAGCAAAGGCAGCAAGAAAGACAGCAGTGAAAGAAACAACAAATGTTCTCAGATGTCCATGTCCTTCCTTGCCAGGAAGAAAGGACCGGAGGCATAACGCATGGACGTGAATAGACAATGAGGGGAGAGCGAAGAGACCCCTGGTTAGTGCTCGGGCTCCCTCGCCCTTTCTCCCTCTATCCCCTATCGTCCGGTCCCCCTTCTGTCAAGCTTGTTCTCAGAAAGTGTGGGTAAGCGCGGAGGCGCATAGAGGAAACAGGAGCAGTCAAGGGAGGGAGAAGGAGAGGTTGACCCCAAGAGCCGGCGATGGCAGGCATGAGCGAGGCATACGCGACGGGGGAGAGGCAGAGAGTCAGAAAGGACGAGCTCGCGAAGAAACTACAGAATGACAGGAGGCTTGTGGAATTGACCGAAGGCAGCTCTTGCTCTTTCTCCCGCGGTCTTCCCTCTGCAACAAGGATCAGAGACGATGACAACGTCTTGTGCTACCTCATCGCTGCTCTTTGCCTCCTCCGAGACATGTACGCAAAGGGGCGTTGGCCTTTCCCCCTCACCGTGTCTTCGCCTTCTCTCATTCGGACAAAACAGAACAGAAGAGGAACAGCAGAAGGATAAACATGAGGATGGGGATTTGCAGAAAGGGTGCCAATGAACACTTCGATCTTTTCCCTCCTGCCTTCTTCGTTCATGTCGTCTCCGTTCTCGTGTTGTCTTCACAGATACGGATAGGTCCGGTCTGCAAAGGACGGAAGGGAGTGCAACAATAAAGAGGAGGAGGGATAGAAAGGAGAAAACCAAGCAATAAGAATGGTTCAGAGGCATAGAAAGAAACAGAAACGGTGACACATAAGGCGGGAGAGAGAGTGATGGCAGAAGGTAGCAGAGGGGGCAGGAAGCGCAAATGCACTCCGAGGATAGACACCAGAGCCAACATTGAATTTGTGGCCCTACTTCTCGCTTCTGCTGCAGCCTGTGTCAGGAAACTGTGAAAGGCCGGAAGTGTCTGGGTGGCGCCATCTCCCTGTTGTGTTCACCCCCTAGCGAGATGTGAAAGCTCGTCTTTTGGAGTATTTATGTTTATTCCTCTCCCTTTTTTTTTTTTCTCTCTCNNCTCTCTCTCTCTCTTTCTTTCTCTGCATATGAAGGTGGAGGGGCTCGACTCCGCAACCTCTCTGTTCGTCGGCAAAGAACGGGAAACGAAGGAACTGATGAAAACAACATCTGTCCTGTTTTTCCTCTCCCTGCCTCTCGTCGCTGTTTGCCGGTGACCTTATGTCGCTTTCTTACTGCTCCCGTCAATACAGATTTTGACCGGGAAACACTGAGTAGATGAGTAGATACTTAGACACGTCTGCAATACTACACAGGGACGGGACATAGTTCCACTAATCTGTTTATCCCCTGTTGCCTTTCTATTTCTGTCATGCATCTTACCAAAGGTGACAAGTATGAACTATGGAAACAAAACTTTCTGCCTCCCTCACCCTCACTTTCTCGCAATGAATGTGATGACCTCTCGTCCACCCGTTAATGCACCAAGACTATATGAAAAGCTACTTTGAGAGACGCATCTCTCAAATGAAAGCAAACCCCAAATTTAAACCCAAACCGGCCTGCACTTGAAGCCTGTTAATACAGGGGCCTTCATAATTA